ACAGGGTACAACGTAACTGTATCAACTTCGATCACCGCCAGTTAGCCGCCACAAGAGCATCATCCGGCATCGTTGCCTGTCGGAATCAGATCCCCTCACCGCAGTCGTGTGATGGGCGCAATCAGCGGCACCACTGCAGCGCTGTACACAAAGTAGCGGTATAGATTCCTCGGATCTTGGATACCAACCATAACGACATCTGATGAATGCACTGTCAACGCCACACGGACAACGTATCGTCCCGAGGCTCAGTCCCTTGAATCAGACAGATGCTGTGGTCATAATCATAATCATATTTATCATCGTCACAAGCAGAGAGCATATGGTCGTTCCCGCGCGTCGGGATCATGGTACTCAGCGTGCCGCGAACGGATTCAAGCCACGTCAATGAGCCCATGCCCATGTGACAGGGTATGGTCGAGACCACCACCACCACACGTTTGCGGGATGTCACTGCCACTACTTCATTTTCTTTTGTCGCTCAGCCAGAGATGATTGACGATGAAAGGAAATGAAGAGATCAGACTGAGATGAAGAAACCATGGGGCTTGCGCGGGTGTGATGCATCGTGACACCACGACATGCATTTACCCCAGGTCAGCAAGGCGGTCTGTTGCCCATGGGGCCGTGATGCTATCATCGTGCCTCGTTTTCGACCCAACAAGTACAACTGACAAGGGGATAATACGGAGTTGACCGATTCGAGTCTAGAACGGAAGATTGGCGTCTGGCGATCGGTCGTACACTCGTTCAGAATTGTCTATTGTTACTATATTCGGCACTGGCTGGGATATTGCTTTTTCCTCCATGGTACAGGGGTACATGGAACAAGCATAATAAATCCAAGCGTCTGGTCATCTGAACGTCTGAAATTTCCTTCGGGTACGATGTCTGGCGATATGACCCTTTCTTTTGCTATCGTGTCTGATCCTGAATCTTCGCGCCCGAGATAGGCGTCCAATATTGCGAGTTACTTGGATGATGCTGGTAAGTTGGTCGCTTCGGAAGGCATCTGTCGTTTTCATGATTTGCTGTCAGGAAATGTTTCTATCCGATTACTGTGCTGGACATTGACGCCTCCATTATACATCTCGATAACTGCTGAACTGACTCATCAGACTTATTCGTGCTTTCGATCGGTCTAGAACAAGATCAACATGGAGGTTTCCCATCGGTCCCTCTAACCATCCTTTGTTTCACAGAGGCATCCTCCTGTCAAGATTTGCTGTCATATTCGGATCTGTCATGAATTCATGATCATTTCGCCGCGCCATGCAGTCGACATTTCCTCTTCAGTCTCTCTGCTGACCGCAACTCCAGGCCATGATACCGCTCCGAGGGGTCGTCCTTCGCGCAGGCGGCCAAGTCGAACGATCCTTCACTTTTGGCTCCTAGATTAGGAATATAAGCTATTCTAGAGACTGGATCAGGGGCTGTTTACGCCAGTTTAACGGTGAAGACGGGTCAGCTAATAACCATATCCGTGTAGCGCTGTATAATTCTGACTGGGTGTAGACTCTGTACGGAGGAGACGAGAAAGAGAAGAGATTGCGAATAGAGCCTGGTAACCCTATCTTCGATAGATTAGCGAGCAGACTGCTTAGAATCTCTCTGTTTCCTGTCTATGGAATATAGACAACTCTCGATCGACTGTATGATTGTAGATTATACTGAAATCATTCTCTCTTGGCCATACCACCAGCCCTACGTGCCCTCTGGTCGCATACGCGTGTACAGATTTCACAGAAACCCTAGGAATTTACTAGATTATAGATATCACAATACTTAGTGGCAACGCCATACTGGCCTTATGAATAGATTCAGTGCAATTGTGTCAAAATCCACTTGCAAAATGCTAGCATCTTGCGTGTGCAACTGGGGTTTCCATACAGACTCCCATCCAAGCCCATTCACTGATCCTGATCAGGTATCTTTATTTGCTCATTCACTGGACTGCCACACCGCATTCATGAATGTTCAAGGCCTTATATGCCCCTGGAGAACCTCTCCCTCCAATTCATCCTCGCTGCCAAATAGCCATATCCCGCTTTCGTCGTTACACGCCTTCTTATCTCTCATTCAAGGCCGTGGAGGTTGCAGATTGTGGGTGTCCGATGGATGAGAAGCGTCCAGCTCCGAAGCGGTATGGAATTATGGGACTGGGGAAGTTTCGATGCGACTCGGACGGTGTCCGCAAAGCCGTAGACACCAGGCTGGCGCCGCTTCTGTGTCTGAAAAAGCTCCCCAGTCCCCACTGTGAAGACGGGTGACATCGGCGATGAACTTCAGTGGATTATCGACAGGGAGTAAACTAATCGCCCCAAGCGAGGGACCTCGGTCGCTGGCAAACTGAACGAGGCGAGTATAGCGGGTTGTCTGGCTCTCGTTGATGGAGAAATCGGCAACGTCCCTGAAGCCTATTCAAAATTACCGCTTCAAGTGGAAGGCAGCTGAGTTTTCGCTGCCAGGTCGCCTTTCCAATATCAATCTGGTTGCTTTTCGTCGGTGCAGCACTGCCTTCGCACTTTGGCTATGTCTTTGGCCCGACAACGACCGAGAGCCGTCCTAGATTGAGTGCATCCTCGATGCGAAAAAGTAAATTGTTCGTAGCCATCACAGGCCTGCAGGGTTAAGGACATTCCTACTGGCCGCGGTGGCCCGCCGAGACGGCGCTGTTCTCAACGCAAAGAAGGGTATACCCTATGTGTAGTCCTCCCTTTCCTTCTTCATGCTGGCTGATAATCCAGATGCCTTTCATGGCAAGCTAACCGCGACCGATATACTTCGCCAAGCTTATGGGCCATGTGAGGGATGTCGACTCGGCTTCAGATACAACCGCCGAACCAAGGAAAATAGCTCAAACGCGTAAACTGGTCGCCCCGATCCATGAGCGTCATGCGTGAAAAAGCCGGCCCCTTTCCAAAGTTGCGTAGTCGCTCCACTTACAAAGGAAAAGCCTTATATCTCGGCGCGTGCTCAAATTGCATTCAGTCGAATAAGGGTGCTCGCTGCTCGCGTCGTTGAGAAGGGACCAGCAACTTGACGGGTAAGTCTCATTCCTGTCATAGGTTGATCTTCGCTGACTGGGACAGTTCCATTATTGTTGCTTTGAAGATGGCTGAAAACATAGCCTGCAAGCGTTTCTGGTGCATGCTTGCGGACTGCAGGCAAGAACTTCGACGTCAACAATCCTCAGGCATTTTTCATTGACAGTCGCGGTGGGCTCTCATTTCTTGATGGCTACGGCCCAAAGCTTAGAGACATGCCAGTTGCCGAGGAGGGCCTGATGGATGTCGACCTCGTCCGAGACTCTCCTCGCAAAACACTCGCTCCCGCGTTCATGAACAATGGGTCGACAATCTCACCACTATTGCCAATCACCAGGAGAAGGAACAGCTCCTGAGGCACCGGAGCCGGCCATCACAGCCACAATTAATATGACGAGCAAGACTTTCACGTGCCGTCTGCCCACGTCGCTTGTTGGAAGGCGATGTCAGGACCCTGCTTACGCTCGCCAGAAGGAAGAAGAACTCATCCAAAAGTGGCAACTTGTGGCGCCGCTTGCAACCGCTCCTGTCATCAAATATACGTTGATAGCCTACGAAAGCAGCCAGCACTTCATCCTCCCTTTACTGCACACAGGAATGGGTAGTAATAGCAGGTCTATCCACTCTGATAACCAGTGGTTGGTTGGAGTCATATTTGGTCCGAGCCACAGGATTTTGAAAACCATTCGGCATGTTCAAGACAAAGTAGACTTTATTTTCTCCATCTATGAACACAAACTGTTGACTCCACATTGAGGAACCGTCCTACGTGGTTTTCGCAAACGTACCTCCAAATTGTCAGGGAATCGCTCGGTCATCCGCGCCTTCTTGGACCGAAGAGAGCTAGAGTCTTCTATGATGGAAACTTGACGCTTAATTCCCAAACGTCCAAGCGCTCCTCGTCAGCTTGCAGAAAGGCCTTTCACTTGAAAAATTGAGAGCACGACGGCGTTCCATGGGCTGAGCCAAGTTGCTCATGGTCTCTCATAGCTGCCCATCAGTGCAACTGTGCAAGTTCCGTGGCAAGATGTATTTCTTTTGTACATGAACATATCAGAAACAAGCTTTTTGACCATCTCATCACTCAAGTCTCCGATCACACTTGTTTATCCGGGCATACATTCATCAGGACTACTCGTAGTGACCATGGAGTATCAGATAGATGTACGTCGGGCGTCAGTCGATCTTGGCAGTCCCACACATGATCGGGAGCCCGTGATCCCGAATTCCCGATCCTCCGACGGCGAAGGGACGGAAACATTACCAACCTTGTCTTCAGATTTTGACCTCCAGATCTTCTACCTCGAGACATTGAATCTGTCTGATGTTTGTCTTTCGGCTAAAAATTGCTACATCTTGGATAGTAGACTATTCAAAGAGACCCCGGGGCTACTCCATGGTGGGTTCCGTCAGAGAACTGCGGAGCACCAAGTTAACACATCCCAACGGCCCAACCGCTTCAAACTAAACAGCTGACCAGTTGGTTCGGTGCATTTCCTTTTATATATGATTAAACTTTCGAATAACAGCTGAACTTTTTCAGTGTCTAAGAAGAACCTTTCTCCTTAAAACTCCCCCTATTGAGACCTCGCAGCTTCCTGATCAGGCTTCCGGCAGGCCGGGTCCATATATCCTGCTCATGACTGCAGAAACACGCTGCCTGGTTTAACAAAACCATGCAGAACTTATCAATCGCAGCTGAGAGCGGTCTTTCTCTGGGGCCGCTGGACGGTCGTGCAAGTATCCATCAAGCACCAAGATTTAAGGACCATCATAATGTGAATCGAATACGTAACCCTCTGGTAAGAATCATCTGGATTTCTCGCTCGCTAAAGAAACGGCATTGATCAAAGTTGTCTCCCAGGTCTGCGAAGCTTGCTACGAGAGCAAGATAAAGTGTGAGCCCGATGCCTCCAACACGTCTTGTAAGCAGTGTACGCGGCGTCGCATCCCATGCGAACTCACTTCCCGGAAGCAGAAGCAGGAGCGTACAAAAAGGTAATCGTGCAGCAGACCGAAGCAATGACTTTCACAGTCACCCACTTTATGATAAGTTGTACATGGCTGACAGATCTAGACGCCTGTATGTAAAGGCTTTGAAAGAGCGCTTGGATAGGGTGGAGTCGCTGCTCAAAGCCGCTGGTCTCGTGGACGAGGAGAATCTTACACCTCCAGAAACCAGCAGCGATGACGGTGTGTCGCTCGAAGAGGACAAAATGGAAGCCGAAAGTGACGATGAGCTCTCAAGTCCACTGCCGCATAACTCGAGTGAGCACAAGGTTCGCTTGTTCAAGTCGGCCAATCAGCAGTCGGGACTTGAGTCATCTAGCAAGCTTTCCGGTACTGGGGATAGCCAGCATGTTTCCATAATTCGATGGGATAACAAGGCTGACTCCATATACTACGGTATGTCGTTCATCAAGTATCTGAGCCTTTCGCACTTCCTAAGATTCTGACCCGTTTCAGGACGTTCTTCCTCATTGTCCATTTTATCCAGAGAAGGGATTGAGTGGATCAAGCACAAGACCGGTGAAGTCAACTTTCTTCGTCTGCTAGTCTCAGACACAAGGCACGATAGTCCATGGGACTATTGGCGGCCTGACGTGTTCCACGATGTCTTTGCCTCGAAGGTCTTCAAACCTCTTCCGCCCCGAGCGGAGGTATTTTCCTTATTAGGCGATTATTTTCGAACAATCAATCGCTTGTTCCCGCTTTACCATGAAGCCTCTTTTATGGAAATGGTGGAATGGCAGTACACACAGCAGACGTGCGATGACGCTGCTCGGTGGGCCAGCATCAATGTCATTCTCGCCTTGGCCTATGAATACAGATACACAAATAGTCTCAAGTCGGAAAAGGACAAAGAAAGAGCATGGCTCTATTATAAGAACGCCATGTCGGTTTTCACTGAACTGACGCTGCGCCGGACTGATATGCTGAGTGTACAAGCCCTCCTTGGCATGGCGCTTTTCCTTCGTGGTAATTCAGGCACTCAGTCAGCAATGCCTTTAATAACAGCAGCCATCAGAACGTGCCACCGACTGGGTCTCCATCGTGACACTCCGCGGCCTCACCTTGCCCCAGCGGAGCAGGAGCAGAGGAAAAGGGTCTTCTGGATCGCCTTTATTCTAGATCAAAGGTAAGATCAAAATTATCAGCTTCCTTTTTGCCACGGCTGTTCAAATCTGATATACGATGGTAATGCAGTACATGTATACGAACTGGAAATGCGCCAACTCAACATCCCGACGATTTTGACGTCGAGATCCCTGCTGTTGATCCCGAAAATGATCTCTTGCTAAGTGACAACAAACCATTTTTCCAGCAACTTTGTCAACTCACCATTATCAAGAGTCGTATATACACGGAGCTCTATTCTGAAAAAGCCTTGCAGAATAAGACCGCAGCTGAAGTCATGAAGATCGTGAAGAAACTTCACGCTGAACTCGGAGAATGGAGGGCGGCGAACACGTTTGATGATCAATTGAAACAGGGAGCGGCAGGCGAAGATTTTCTGCGAGGATTTGCGTCCGCCGGCATGCAGTTCGTCTACTTCAACTCTTTGATCTTGATCCATCGGATGCCTCTAGTCATTGCCTTCATCTACCGACAACGTCTCGCAAATGGAGATTCTGCTCCTGATGATGCCAATTTGATCCTTCGAGAATCGTCCTCCTCCATTGCTTTTTGTTCAGAGGCTGCTCGGGATACGTTGAGGCTCGTTAATAATCTCCCATGGGGTGATATAGCATGGATATGGTAAGGCAACGATAGCATCAGGCACATGTTTACCTCCATTTTGATGCTCACTATTCGCACAGGTCCCTTCTGTATTACGTGTTTCTGGCCGTTATGACAATTTTCATAAACATTCTGCGAGACTCGCGGTACCCTAACGTCAGGGAAGACATTCAATCGCTCAACATGGCTTCGACATTCTTCGCCACGCTGATCCCCGGCGACGGGCCCTCCAATTACGCCCGGTTCATGACGCAAATGAGCGCAAACTTTGAACGAATAGCCAGATCTGTCGTAGAGCGAGATCAAAAGGCAACCAAACTCAGCCAACGAGCGAATTCTCGTGCATCAATGACCAGAGCAGAAGGCCACGATCTCGCATCAGAAGAACAACGAAGCCAGCGTAACCAACCGGCAGAAGCGCCAAGATCATCCCCTTCATCTTCTCCCGTCCACTCGCCCTCGATCATCGACATTCCCCATCTCCCCGGTCTTCCCCGCATCAACTCTTCCGGCTACGTGGTACCCGATAGCAGCCCTCCGGCGTCCGATGACCTCCAACCCTCAAGTCCTTATCCTCCACTTGAAAATACCTATCAAAACGGCGCAGCGCCATCTGAATCATCCGTTTCTCCCCAAGGATTCAATAATCCCACCTATCCCTTTGACGCCTTCTTCCCAATGCCGGTAGCCAACCACATCCCTCAAAGCGATTTCTGGCAAACCATCCCGGTAGCGGACTGGGGACTCCCCAGTTCGAATCAGTTCAGTGACGATCCCTACATGCAAGGCTTCTTTCAAGGAAGGGCACCGTCCTTCACAGCACCAACAACCACAGCGACGTCGAGCAATGTGCCATCGGTACCCATTAACATGGGATTTTCTTCTGAAACCCCGGGCCAATTTGTTAACGATCAGGGGCCGAGTCAGAGCATCTGGCCTGGGGGAGGGTTTGTAAACCCATTCTCTTAATATGGGATTGGGTTGCGCGTTCTTAATGCATTAAAGTTGTATACAAGCAACACAACAGGTGACGACATATTATGCTGAACATCATCTTGATGAATGACGCGATGAGCAATACATACTTCTTTTTAATCTTGGGCTCTGACCTTTGAACATCATATGAGACTTTCCATATACAAATGAGATATCTTCCGGAAGGTCACTAGATCAACGAACGCCGACCTTGAAACGAAAGAACTCGGAACAGCTATGTACAATCACCTTGGCTCTTAAATTACGCACCAGCTAATTAAACGCCGTAAACACCCATACCCTGTCCTTGTCCATCCATAGGTACTTTAAAAAACAGTCCCTGTAAGCATCCGAACAGCTTTACTCCAAACACCATTCCCAAGTTGTACTCCGGCAGTCTTCTCCCCCATTTCCTTGCAGAGGATAGTTCGCATCTCCGTCTCAGACATGCCGAGGTCATTGCCAGATCCGAAACCATACACCTTGCTGGCGATCACATCGGTCTCGAAATCCAAAGAACCGACGTCGCCGGACTCATTGCCCTGGACCACGCGGGTTCTCACCCCAAAGTCGACGTCGATTCGCCGTTTCTCATTGCTCGCGTGCTTCTTTGTGGATTTGGATGCGGGTGTTTTTCGGCCCTCGGCTGTGTCAGTTCCGAGAAGAGTGCACCTGGCTCTAAGCGACAGCTTGTCTTCTTCCTCGGATAGCCTGAGTTTAGTTACGCCGCAGAATTCAAGCATGCGGGCTTCTTCCTCTAGGCTGAGCACGGAGTTCCAAGCATTTGAGATGAAGCGCAAGAGATGCTTCGGAGCTATCGTGGCTGTCTTGGGCTCTAGGGTCTTGAGGTGCTTCTGAAGAGACTTGAGGACTAACAAGGCGATAGGAGATAGCTGCGGCGCTCGAATCGTGGACTTGCCGCCGTCTCTCGGGTGGTATTTCAACTCAAGAGGCAGGCTTGTCTTCTCGTCAATGCTGGACGGCGGTTGAGCTGCGTTTTCAGTAGCAAAGGTCGCCGGGTGGAAGACGAGTTGAAGCTGCTCCCGGTAGGACATGGTCAACAAAGGGCCTGCGGGTGAGCCGGAAGAGGTGGCTGATACGATAGACCAGCCTGTCTGAAGCTCAGTTCTCCGAACGGATTCTATCAAGTTTGTGAGCAATTGTCGAGCATACATAATGTTCAAATGAGCGAGTAATCTTACCCTTCAATTCACTGATTTCCTTGGCGCTCCAGCCATGGCACTCCTCTTTTACCCTCTCAGCTTCCTTAATCTGCGCCAAGTACTCAGCTTTGAGTTCCGCTCCCGACTCAAGACTGTTAGTCTTCTCTTGCACCTGGCCTTGAAGCTCCTGCAGCTGCTTCTTCTTCAACTCGATCTCATCCTCTAAGCAGGAGAGCTTCTCCCGCGCATTTCGCAGTTCATCCTGGTCGCAACTCTCCATCTCGTCCGCAAGTTGCTGTAAGTTCGCGGCCTCCTCTTGCAGCGCAGATTGTTTCTCGACAAGAGAAGGTACTACGCCATCGAGCAAAGTCTCATATTTTGTTAATAGATCTCCATCCGTCTTCATCTCATCGACATGCCGGTAGAGGCCTTCTTTCAGACCTTCAAGAAGCTTCATACGCCATTCGTACCATGTGGCTTTGCTCAGTAATCTAGCATGGGTCTTGACATTCCGGAACTGGTTGTCCATCAACAGCCGGATGTCTGGCGGAGCAGTGGCATATTCTCGGAAGAGTGGCGGGTTCTCAGCGTATGTCTCGGCTTCAATGGATCGAATCACCTGTCGGCCTTCAGAGATGTAGGATTTCAACTCGCGGCAGGACTAAGAGGGGGTCAGTATAGATCTAGGTCGAAGGGAAAGCAGATGGCTTACATGCTGATACAACTCAAGCATGGGCACAGTACAGAAACCGGCAGCGACACAATCTTCAAAACTGGCTGTGGCAGCCTTGGACTCGGCAGAGAGCCTAGCCGCTCTCTTACTCACACTCCCAGGGGCTGTAGTATGCCTTCGTTTGGTTGTAGTCAGCTCCATAAAATGGATGTTAGTCATGTTCAAGAAATCCTGTAGCTGAATAGGTTCAAACTCGGGCTCGCTATCTTGCGGAGCGACATTTCCCTCTTCAGCCGATGTTGACTCTGTACTGGAGTTGAAAGACTCGGATACGTCTTTCGCCGGAGTAAGCGACAAGGAGCTGGTCTTCGGCTCCTGACTTGGAGTCGTGCTACCTTCAGTGGGTGGTGCAATAACAGATCTACGAGTGGGTGAGCGCTTCAAATGTCCGACCGTCTCGTCCTTTGTCGGTGGTGCCGGAAGTTTAATGCTCTTCACTGGGCTTGCGTTGCGGCCCTTCAAGCGCTTAGGAGTATTATCGGCCTCCTCTTCATCATCCTGATCTAGCTCTACGGGTCGCTTGCCCAATAAACCCCGGGCAGCACCCACGTGTAAGCTCTTGCGCCCGCGGAGCTTGTTCTTCTTTGGTGTGAGGCTCGAAATCATATCCTTCAAATTCGCCGTAGGATCCAACTGCAGCGGGGGAATATGACCGTCTTCCCGCTTCTCCTCTTCTTCACGCTCCATGTCGACTTCTTCTTGGAGTTTCAGAGGATCCTCAAAGCGCACACCCGATTTGGGCTGCTCCTGAGGAACGAAGCGTGGAGCCTCCTCTCCGATTGACCGTCTTTCATCAAGCATAGCAGCCACGCGAGGCGAGCCTAGGCCTTCTTTGTCGATTCCAAGACCCGATGAACGCCGTTTTTCGTGAGGACGTAATACAAAAAGGGGAACGGCTTCACCGGTCACCGCAGTAGATCCAAAGAGACTCTTGCGGCCAGGGGATTTATCCTTGCTAGCAGAACGGCGGGTCTCAGACTGAAAAAGCTTCCTCGGCGATGCACTTCGGTTATTTGTCGTGCTCAAAGGAGTCTTGCTGGGCGTCATGGATTGACTGGCTTGGGGTGTTGAGTCCTTTGGCGAAGTCAATGTATTCTTCACTGGTGATTTGTGTGGCGAGTGTGCCGATGGCGTGTTCGACATTCGACGGCTCAGGCTCTGCCTGGTTGATCGAGGTCTGACACTGGCTAAGCTGGGGCTTCCACTTTCGGAGGCGACAGCAGCCAAGTGGAAAGAAACTGGAGATTTTGAAGGGGATTGCCGAACATTCTCCTGGAAGGGAGAACTTCCCGGTTGTTCATTCTCCGACTCAGAATTCGCGTCTCCCCTTTCCTGGTTTTCGTCGACAGTCGTTGGCAAAATTCGTCCCATGGCAGTTGTGAGCTCCATTCCAGCCGTCTGGTCTTCGTCCTGCCCATCTCGAGTTCCGGTTGCTGAAAGAATGCCACCAACTGCCCCTGTCATCTCCATGTCTGCCTCGTCTTCCATGCTGCCACCATCATCCTCATCGTTCCACCCAGCGGTATTTGCTTCCTCAGCATGTTGAGTCTGAAACGGTTTGTTGAGAACACCTCCTACAACGGAGGTGAATTCCATTGTCATCTCCTCGTCGCTAGCATTACTTTCGCCGCCTGCGGACCTGGTGGGAGATGCAGATTGTTTGATGCCGCCAATCACATTCGTGAATTCCATTGTTTGCTCATCATAGTTTGTCTCTTCGCTCGTTGACTTGCGCCGGACGGTGCTCTGGCGACGACTTGGCTGGATGATACGCCCAATTGCATTCGTTACCTCCATGCTGAGGTCTTCGTCCGCGATATTCGCCGAACCATCGGGAACAGTCGATGACTGGATTGAGCTGTGCGATGGATTGATATTCTCTTGGTCATGCAAAGCGCTGATATCCTCCCATTCGAAACTTTGCCTTTGGCCCTTTTTGATCCAAGGCTGGAAAGCGCCAGTGATTTCTTGGTCAGCGATTTCCATTGACATCTCCCCATCCTCATCGTAGTCAATGCCTCTCGTTCCAGCTTCTTTAGCTGCTTGGCGTAGGGCCTCGTTCAGGCGGGCGCTGGAACTGGTACTGGAGCCCGACCGATCTGAACGGACACTCGCAGCTGAATGAACAGACATGTCGTCCATACTCATCGCGGTACTCTCCCCATCAAATCCAGAGCCTGAAAAACTGTCATCATCATCGTCATCGTCAGCTTCCCTTGCAACGTCTTGAAGGCCAGTATCATCCAAGCCATCTGTAGAGCCTCCGCTGAATGGACTAGACGACAGATCTTGCGAAGTTGCAGGTTCATCATACGCTGAGGTTGAACGGTTCCTGAGCTCTTGCAGGTCCGGATACTCCACCGGAGAAAATGCAATGTCTGATTCCGCTACAGTGTCAGGTGTGGACGGGGGTTCTCTCTGAATGGCTGCTTGTGTCGGCGCTTGGTTCTCAGCGAGGGACGAAGCACGCCGGGTGGAGTTAGAAGCAGATGAGGAAGTCGAATCATCAGGGATTTCGACGACGTTCCACGTGTGTAGTGTCGCCTCTGGAGCGAAAGAAACGCGGCGGTTCGCTTTGCGCAGACAAGTGTTAGCCAACGGTAGGGTTCCTAGAAAAGACATTGACTAACCCATCGATTTCCGGCGCGCTTCTCTCTTTTCCAGTATAATCTGACGCTCACGCTCTCTCCTCTCCTTCTCCTCCTGTTCCCTCGCGGCGGCGATCGCAGAGGACGCATTGAAGCTATCGAAGGGATTGGCTGGATCTTCTGCGCCAGACGGCGGCGGCTGCGCGGGAGTAGCAACGTCTACCAATAGATCTCCTTTCCCTTGGTCATTACTATCGCTCTGGACACCGTCCTGTTGTGCGCCGTGCGCTGGAGTTTGTTTGCGCGTTTCTTCAAAAGACGGAATGTTTCGAACCGGAGAAACAGGAATTGTCGGTTTGAGAATAGATTTGAGCGGAAAAGCCATGGTAGACTAAATGATACTTCAGTCAACATCATGTCTTACAAATAAACAATTTTGAGCGGCCAGGAAAGTACCTTGCGCCGGTTGCCATTTGAATCCTGAAGCGCATCCAAACCACCAGGTCCTAAGCTCTTACTGCGGGATTTTTTATCTTTTCCCGCACGTTTCGCAAAGCCATCTTGACTTTGAGCCGCACCTATATCTGTTGTGGCATTCTCTTTATCTAACACAGACGTCAATCTCGAACGAGGCACATGGGCAATGGAACGGCGAGATCGCGGACGACCCGACCCCGCGGAGTCACCTCTGGACGCCATAATGGCAGGTGAAGAAGAACATAGACAAGAAAATGTCTAGGCAATCTCCAAAACCACTGATCAAAGACGGATTTCTACCTCCAGTTATATGAATCGCGATTGTTCTCAAACGGAAAGTAGCATCATCAATTCGACCCCGTCAACAAACTACAACATACATCAACAAGCGCGTCTCCCGGCCGCCGCTCATGTGATCATCCCCAATGTAAACAAACCAAAAAAGCCCTAGCCGAACCGCACCATTCCATATTTAGTCTAGTGCCCTCATCGCACACTCACACCACGGAATATCGAGCCATCGTCGAATAAATCTTCCTCAACATCGACGTCGACCACCGCCCCGACCCGACACCCCCCTTCGCGACGAATTTTATATCCAGCTCGACTTCGCTTCCTCGTCGACCTGAATTCTCGCAAAAATGGCTACCGAGTTGACCGTCCAGTCGGAACGTGCGTTCCAGAAGCAGCCTCACATCTTCCTCAACTCCAAGACCAAGGCGAAGAGCAAGAAGGTCGGCCAGACCCGGAGATGGTACAAGGATGTCGGTCTGGGATTCCGTACTCCCAAGACTGCCATTGAGGGCAGCTACATCGGTATGAGCGACCTACTCTGAGATTTTGCCGGCGACATCGGATTTTAGACTCGGAGACTGAGGCTACGATTACCTGGGTTTGAGGAATGAGGAAACCGCGCGGAATATCAAAAGGCAATCACAAGAAGTATGGCGCAGAAAATATGGGAAGAGGAGGCATCAGAAAGGGACGATTGCGCGACTGGTTTCGTACCGAAATCCAGTGCCGTGGCCTTTATCGCGGAGTTTCGAATTCCTCATCTCCAAAACCCGGGGATCAAATCCTGATGGCTAGGCGTCGAGGAATATATTCAGATTGCTAATTCGAAACAGACAAGAAGTGCCCCTTCACCGGTATGGTCTCCATCCGTGGTCGTATCCTGACCGGCCGTGTCGTCTCTACCAAGATGCACCGTACCATCATCATCCGCCGTGAATACCTCCACTACGTCCCCAAGTACAACCGTTACGAGAAGAGACACAAGAACCTTGCCGCTCACGTCTCTCCCGCTTTCCGTGTTGAGGAGGGTGACTGGGTCACCGTCGGCCAGTGCCGTCCTCTGAGCAAGACTGTATGTGGAAATCCTCCAAGGAACGACTCTGCGCGATATCTCCGGCAGCGGTTGATGCTGAAATGGAAATTATTATGGAGCGGTCGTCAATCCCCTCTCAGAATCAATTATGTCTAACTTTCAATCCAATAGGTCCGCTTCAACGTCCTGCGTGTCCTGCCCCGTACCGGCAAGGCCGTCAAGTCGTTCAACAAGTTCTAAACGTCGATAATGGATGAAGGGGGTGTTCACATGGAAAATAAAACCTAGGGCAGCGGCGTGACTGGATATAAGCGAAATGATCTGGCGGGTTGGGATTGTTTTAACGATTCTATGTCCCAGGTACCCTCCTGCAGGAAATATCCAATACAAAAAAATTTGATCCTCCTGTGTTACATACAATTTCTACAGCAGACCACGGAATAAGGGATTATCACGCGCGGCGGCTTTGGGAATGGAATTTTCTTGTCATGACTTAGAATCTGATTCATTCTGTCCTCGTATCTAACGGCGGAAGGGGGAGTAGATAGATATATTGTCTTGTGTCCTTCACTCTGCTCCTTTGAAAACCGGCCTTCTGGATCCTTCAACAGAACCATCTCGAGCACGCAAACCTGAGAGGTCCTGGTGAAGTCTCACTTTAGAAAACGCTTAATCCTCTCGCGATCTGAGGCGAATTGATCCTTGGGTGGATGCTCGGGTGTAGACAGATCAGAGATATCCTCCCCCATGATCATATCTCCGAGCTCTTCAATTTCTTCTTCGAAGTCATCCAAGACAATCACGCTAGATTCTCGAGAGAAAGTCTCGACTTCCGTAGGGGTGGATGATTCTTCGGCCAGAGACCAATTTCTGGTAACGGGATTGTAGAGCTCAATTCGATTGACAGGCCGAGCGTCCGGTGGCGTGATAGACGAGACAGTATGTGCTAGTCGAACTGGACAAGGCGTGTCAAAGACGGACTGAATGTCGTCACTATCATCATCATCTCCCTCTTCCTCTTCTTCTTCTTCTTCGTCTTCGTCTTCATTTTTGTCTTCTATCTCTTCGAATCTCTCTTCCTCTTCTTCATGCACAACGGTGTCATGCTGAACAAGATAACCTATTCCAATTCCCTTAGCCAGAGCTCTTCCTGTAGGCCTTACATCCAAGTTGTCTGGGTATGAGTTGAAGGTTGTTTGACGTAACCGGTTGAAAAACCCAACTTCAAGCCCTTGGCAAAATTCCTGCCAGTCTCCCTGCTTCCGTAGTTGCCATGACTTGAAGATGCCCTCGCCGACCATCTGATAATATGCCTGGGGCACATTGATCAGGTGGAGTAATTTACCCAAGCTGGCACCAGAAGCATGATCCAAATTCATACTGTCGGTCTCCTTGGAAAGAACTGTTCGTAGCTTTCCCCGAACACGTTTATAGGAGGCGATTTTTTCAAGTTGCAGAATCCTGTCGATATCTTCATTCTCGTGCGCAATCTGGATGAGTGTAGTGATCTTGAAAGAGCAAATTATCGCAGGTGTTTGAATCTCTCCCCATATAAGATATTCTCCTATGCCATTGTAGCCCGGGATTCGGATCTTGTTCTGCTGTACAAGGGATTTGGCGAAGTACACTGGGCCTGTAAGCTTCCTTGTATCGATGATTGAGACCATAGCCCCTTCCTTTCCCCACAGTGCTCGGTGGATGGGGGCTAGGATAGACTGAAATGTGGAGATGAAGGGGCTTGGATGGCTTGCGATGCTGACATGATTCAGGACATAACCGTTGAATTTTTCCGGGGCAATGTCGTCAGGAAGAAATGTGCTGACCTCAGAGTCAGTAAATAGGCCGGCGATGTACCGCTTCGGAGTATTGATGCCTTGTGAGTCGGCGTTCGACCATCTATACAGAAGCGGCGGTAGGTAGTCGCTTCGCGGAGATGTCGAAGATGTCTGTTGGGCAAATTAGCTACCATTACTTGTATATGCTTCTCACACGCCTACATTAGGTTCGGCTGCGTCGTCTCCTTGGTCCAAGCACCACCAGCAGACCTTTCCACCATGTGTGGTCAGGGGCTGTGCTGATGATTTCAAGACGTTTACACTGGGACTATGGCATCCTGACGAGGTATTTTGGTGATGAACAAGAGTAGCTGAGTGGGGTGTAGAGTTCTCCTGTCCATGTTTAGTAAACCCTCCCCGAAGATCCATGATTTAACTTACAGAGCTTGAGGTTAGAACAGCTGGGTCGGAAGCAGTGGTCCTGCCAGATATAGCGGTCCTTGAGCGGTAATTTGACGTGTCTATATCATCGATTTTCTTCTCAACGAGGGAGACTCCAAGTGACTGAGCAACATCGATGATTATGTCTTTTATTGGTAACCAATCGCCGTGGTTGAGAGGAGACTTATGGACACGGCCCCAGATAGGATCCCCATGTCGCTTCATGTCCGCCCATTGACTGTACAATGTTCTGCTAGCAGTTCGCCCGTCAGCAAAGCCGCTGTTCTCTAGGTCCTCTCTGTATCTAGTATTGAAGATTTCCTCAAACGCAGTACCATCTCTCTCAAAAAATTTATAGAGACAGCATAGGAATACTCTCTTGTCATCATTCCACGACACTTGTGGACGTCTGGTTGAAAAATCAAGCTGCATTTTGAAGCTGTTTTTCACAGAAGCCTCTAAAATCTTTGGCCTAGACGGAAAGTAGGAGTTCTGTAGGTATTGAGTAGTGGGAGGGACGCAGGTGGAATAATGTGTAAGATGATGAGAAAACAGTCGAGAGTAAGAGAGTAGGAACCAACACAAGTGCAGTATTCCGCAAAGATGACATGAGAGTGAATAAGAGGGTGAAGAGAGCAGACCAACACAAGGTAGAGGCTAGACTGAGGACCGTAGTAAGGTTTATAGTAAAGAGAACTCCGTAGTCACAGAGAATTCCTAAAGAGACTGGGGTAGCTGGCTGGGATGGCACGAAATGACGGGCATGAGGTGGTCAAAGATTTCATATCCATGAGAGGCAGATCAGAAGAGGGTAATGAATTTGCTCTAAACCAAGAAGTGTTGAGCTTCAGTCGAGGTGCGGGACAAATGCTGGAGGAGAGGTCTCGCCTCCCTTGCCCACTGCCATTTCCCATGTTTAATTAATGAATTAACAATAAAAGAGCGAAGTGATTGAACAGTGACTTGCTCAATTGTGATCAAGGCACTAAGACACGAGCATCAACAGTTGCATGGTTTCTGTCAGTGTCATGAGAATATATTCACTCCTAGGGATATTTATATTGCAGAGCTGTACATCGCAAAACTATGTTTGCTTGGGAACTTTTGAGTTGATTAAGTGGATTTATATGTCCATAAATTGCGTTCATTGTCAGAGGGAAATAAATGATTGAGAGCGAGTTGAAGCTTTAACTGTTAATTGGTATACTGGTGGTTATCAAACTGCGTCTCAGATGTTTACCCGATACTCGTGCCAGCGCTAGTCATGTTGGAGTAGCCGGAAAATCATCATCATCTAAGCCAGGAGCTCCACCGCGACTCATTCGTCTACCAAACACCACCGAGCCAACGAGCTCAAGCTCTTGCAGTAAATCAACTACCAGCACCAGGCTCTCCATCAACCCGTGCGATTTAATTCCCTTTAATTTTTATCAATCCGGCATTTCCGCCTCGATTGAAGGACTTGTGACCAGTGTCCTCTTTATCTCTGTCCTGACTACTCCGTGAGAACCAAGTGGCTCCGCAGCATGGCTTCTTGAACCATCATGATCAAATTTGGTGCTCATGTACACATGTCGATCTAGACTCCTTCCAGATACAACTTGCAATACGTCTTCGCTCCGCAGGCACGGTTCTGAAGTCCCAACAAGTCCCGCTATTGGGGCCATCGCGACGGTCCCCTGATTCTTATTACTACCCAAGTTCGGCACCTAAACATTGCCGACAATGTCTCAAAATTTTGAGAAATCCGTGAAAGGGGCTACCAAGGTCAAGGTTAGTCAAATTAATTTATTCGGTTCTGCCAATACTATCTTGGATGGTCGCTGATACGTTTCTCGATGGACAGCTTGCGGCTCCTAAATCAAAATACATCGAACACATCCTGGTTGCGACCCATACGGGCGAGGCGGGTGTTGCAGAGATATTCCGGACACTGCAACTTCGACTGCGCGATTCAACATGGACGATTGTGTTCAAGGCGCTAATTGTCGTCCATCTTATGATACGAGAGGGGCAATTGGATGCCACTTTACAATACATGGCGGAGAACCCAACCAAGTTAGCGATCAGCGGATACTCAGAAGGTTAGTTGCAAGCTGGGCTTGAATGGACGGAAGCATCTTGACGAATATGCATGTCCAATGCTGATGGCTCATGCCTGTAGTACAATCACAAGGGCATAACATCCGAAGATATGCCGATTACCTTATGGCGCGCGCAAAAGCGTTCGAAGCCACAAAGACCGACTACGTTCGGAGCGGACAAGGACGGATGAAGCGATTGACAGTTGAAAAGGGTCTACTGAGAGAAACAGAGATTGTCCAGAAGCAGATCAAGGCTTTGTTACGCTGCGACGTGGGTCTTCACCTTACTGTGACCGGTGCTAAATCTGTGACTGACAGTTTGCCATCAGCTTCTGACAGATGAAGTGGAAAATGAAATTACACTCACGGCCTTCCGGTTGCTTACATTGGATCTCCTGACTCTATACTCGGTTATGAATGAGGGTACAATAAATGTCCTAGGTAGGTTCCTTGTCCCGATGTTTTGTGGCTGTATTGACGCGATTGGCCATTAGAGCATTATTTTGAAATGTCGAGACCGGACAGCGAGCGCGCTCTAGAGATATACAAGACCTTCACCACGCAAACGGAGGAGGTCGTGAAGTTCCTGGGTGTCGCTAGGCACTTTCAATCTGCAACCAGATTAGAAATACCCAAGCTTAAACACGCTTCGACGGACTTGACGCGCCTTCTTGAGGATGATCTCAATGATCCCGATTTCAACCTTCGCCGAAGGGAGTATCTGGCTCGAAAAGGCGCAAAGAATGGTGGAGCAGACACCGCGTTGAAGTCCAGTATTACTGGGGGCCCTCAGAATACTAGTAATATGGGTTCTGCCCCGAGCCGCCCACAAACAGAACCGAACCCGCAGAAGAAAACCAATGCTGCTGACTTGATTGACTTCTTTGAACCTATCGAACCCAATCCGCAGCCTACAGCACAACCAACAAATTTCCAGCAACCGTACCAAGCACAGCAGCAACAGCAAACCATGCCGTTCCAGGCAACGGGCTTCCAGCCGCAGCAGACAGGCTTCTATACCCAGCAGACGGGTTTCCAGCAACAGCCTCAAGGGGCCTCTTTTGGTCAGCCGACCGGCTTTGGAGAACCCTTCACTCAGCAGAATAATAACCAATTTGGACAAGCGCAAGCCCCGCAACCACTCCAGTCTACCCCAACCGGGGCTGGATTCGGCGGCTACTCAGCACAGCCGCAGACATATGGATTCCAAACCCACCTTAGCCCCATACCGCAAAGCGGTGTTGCGTCATTTTCTCAGCAGCAACAACCCGCACCGGGTGTTCAGCAGCAGCCGCAACAACAATCAACCAATCCTTTCAGGCAGTCAATGTTGATGAGCACACCAACAGGGACTGCTGTGCCGGCGTCTCCGTTGAGCCGCCAAAACACGAACCCTTTTGCCAGACGCCTATCGACGGTGAATCCACAATTCACTTCAGGTCCTACTGAGGCGACTTCTCAGAGTCCAGCGCAGCAACCACTTCAGCCTCACCGAACAGGGACCAATCCCTTTGCTCGGAGCTCCTCTGTTCCTCCCCAGCAGAGTCAAGGCCTGCAGCCTCCAGCCGCAGCACCCTTACGACCGAACCCAACTGGAAGCACGAATCCTTTCCGACAGAGTGCCTTTGTAAACCAACAAACCGGCCAGGGCTGGCATGTCGGTGGTCAACAGGGTACCATGGGAGGACTCGAACAGCTGGAAACAATGCCAGTCTTTCCACGGCCCGGGATGGCCTAGCATAGCAGGTTGTCCACATAAATAGTCACCGGAAGTGAAGTCTAGATGGCTGACCGGGACATAGCGTATCCTATCGTTTGTTTCTGTGTCTTTATGCGTCCGTCTTTCTGCTGATTACCCTATACCTGTATTTCTTGTCCGCATTGTCACTGATTCGTGCATCAAGGCTTCTGGTGTTTGTATCATTGAGCGAGTCCGCAGCGCGGGCGCATTTTCTCGTTAAGACAAACAGCGCATAGCAGATAATTGAGGACGATATATATAAGTTGTGTTGGAATGGTAAAGCTTAGAGCGTGCAGTTTTGGAAAGTCCCGATATGTATTTGGTATGCCCCCAGTATATTGGGACAAAAAGGCATCTCTACCTAGAAGGTTTCCAATCAGAAGCATGTAGTCCCGAGATTCACGATACTCAGAATCACATCATACCACAAAGGTACCTATGTACCTGTCAATAGGCCGACCGTATTCTTTGTACAATTTCTACCTTTCGTGCTATTGGATCCAATACCAAGGAAAAGCTCTCTAGTATGTGAAACACCAACAGATACCATCCACTCATTACCAATGATCACCAGTTCATGCGGGACACCTTTGCCTTGGTGTTCCAACGGTATCGCCCTGAGAGCTACTTCAAGGGGGTCGCATTAGCGGTTCCCAACGCATCTGTTTGGAAAACAGTTGCGGACGGTGGCCAGTTATACGCGATACGAGGTCGTCTTGCTATTAGATTGTCCAAGACGTTCCCAGTCTCATCTCATCAATTGGCGACCGCTAGCCCGTGTCGAGTGTCGAGATGGTGGAGCAACGAAGCAAGGGAGCAAAAGAAGCAAGGACCTCACGCCGTATTTCGTATGCACTTCCAGGCCCAAAGGCCCACACGCCGAACCGAAATTTCTTCTTCAGGAATCCGGATACGCTGCAGACGGGGATGATGGCCGTACTGCGGATCGTGAGTCTACAGTCCACACGGCCGAGGCTGGCTTATGCAGTTACAGCGAGCGGACAGTAAAGAAGAG